TTGCAATGGTTAAAGAATTTCAAGAATCCTACAGGTAAGCTTGCACGTTGGCTTGAGAGATTAGCCCCATACAAATTCCAGGTGGTTCATGTGAAAGGCACAAGCATAGGGTATGCAGATGCTTTATCCAGGAGGCCATGTGATGACTGCAAGAAATGTGACAGACTAGAAGAGAGAGACAAAACAGTATTAGTCTGCTAGTGTCAAACAGAAATAAAATGTGACGATAACTGTCCAACATGTCTCTTAGGTGAAAGAAAACAAATCAGACTTACCTCAGACACAGTAAAAGTCCACTGGACAAGAGTAATTCCCAATGGACTCAGTGATAAGGAAATCAGAAAGGCCCAACTTTTAGACCCAGACATAATGCCTATCATGGTTGCAGTTCAGGATGGAGAGAGACCTGAGTTCCAGGAGATTGCCGGGAATAGTAGCAAATCCAGGTCTCTGTGGTATCAGTTTAACCCTCTGGTCATAGAGAATGGTCTCTTATTCAGAAGATTTGAACATCCTAGTGGATTGAAAGAAAAAGAGGAATTACAACTGATACTGCCATCCAAACTGGTGAAACAAACAGTTAAAGCTTACCATGATCAGCTGGGAGTAGGCAATCATTTTGGGGGGTCCAAAACATAAGCATTCCTTGAAAGATTCTTCTGGTGGCCAGGAATGTTTGAAGACACATATGAGGTAGTTTCTCAGAGCAGAATTTGCGCAAAATTCAAAGGCCCAGCTCACATGACAAAGGTTCCCTTAAAGTTGTTCAAAACACTGAAACAACACCTTATGATACTGGTAGAAAAAAGACAGGCAAGACTGGCCTAAATATTTACCATTCATTACTCAGGCCTACAGAAACCTGCCTCACTCATCACACAAATTCTCACCTTATGAGGTTATGTTTGGAGCTGCCATGAGGACACCACTGGATATGAACAGGGGCCCTCCACCAAAGGAAGAGCCCATGAACAAACTCTACCCAAACTGGGTTAGAAAGACAATGCAGGATATCCACGGGGTTGTTGCACACATGAGCAGAAAAGCTGCAAACAGAATGAAAGCTTACTATGACAGAAATGCAACACTTTCACCATTCAAAGCAGGGGACAAAGTCCACTTGTATTACCCCAGGAAAATTAAAGGCATTTCAGCTAAGCTAATTTCTAGATGGAAGGGCCTTACGTGGTCACAAATATAATAAATGACTGCAATGCTCGGATAGAAAGGGCAGACAACTCCGATAAAAAGCCAATAGTCCACATAGACAGGCTAGCAAGATGTCCAGACGAAGCCGACGACAACAACAACAACATCGCCATCGCTTGGTTGTTGTTTACGGAATGAGCGCAACCATCTTAGCACTCGAAAAACTCGAACTCGATCGAGCGCCGCGAGAAATTCAAATCGGAACTGGTCGCTAGGAAACGGGTACCGGGTACCAACCGGTTGCTAAGCAATCGGGTAGGCTTAACGAAAACAAAAGAAAGCTACTGACGCTATCTGAAGCCTAACGGTTATTCCCCTCAAATCTGTGTAGATCCACCCGTATCAAAGAAGCATCCGTGTTATCCAGAACAATCCCAAAGTAAAATGAAGTGAATATCTTTGAAAATGGACCAAATACCAGAAAAGAAAAAGACTTTTCAAGATCTAAAAATAGAAGTGCCTCAGAGAAGTGAAGAAAGAAAAATCCTGGAGGCGAGAAGACCCTCCAAGGGGCTGACTAAGACCGAAAAAGTGGATCAATCTAAACTGGACCAAATATTAGAAAAGGTCAAAAGGTCTTTGCAGCAAGATAAAGAGACCATGGAGGCCAAAAAGGCGAGACTAATGAAGTCAGAGGAGGACCCCAATCTAAAGAAAAATGCAAAAGCCTCAGCTTTGAGAAAAGCTGGAGCCAGGATGACTCAAAGGGTAAGCAAAAATACCAGAATAATTGTCTCTTAAAGAGAAAGGGGAAGGAAAGATACAAAATTGGTAAATCTGTTACAGAACTTGCCAAGGAAAATGCCACAAGAAATTGTGGCCTTCCCTGTGGGTCAGGCGGGTCCATCCAGCCAGGAGTCATTCCTCATGGAAGCATATGTGTTCCCCAATGACATTCAAAAAATGGTGGAAAGGGAAGACCTGCTGCCTGTGAGAGAGGCATCAGGCTTCCCAATGTGTTTCCCCATCACATGTAAAAAAAAATGGTGGAAAACCCTGAGCCTATTTTGAGGGAAGATTGGTTCTCACATCACCCCATGACAGGTGCAGACTACATGAATCTGCCCAGCACCTCCAAGATCAGGCAGGAACATGAGAAAGATCTGGACTTTCTGCCACCTAATCTGAGGCAACATAATGCAGCCCAAAATTTCGTGCAACCTCTAGTGACAAGAGAATTCCTGTCAAGAGACAGTGACACACACAGCGAGAATGAAAGAGCGGAGAAGAAAGAAAGTGCAAGTGAAACAGCAAAGAAACTGTTAGAAGAAATGAAATTGACAGACTCAGAGTCAGAAGCAGAAGAAAAGATACAAGAGAAAACTGAAATGGACACAGAGGTCGAGATGTTGGAGGCGGAAATAAATAAAATAGATGTAGACATGAAGACACCAGAAGAAGTAGACATGGAACTAGAGGAAATGGATAATGAGATGCGAAAAGAAGAGGAAGCAATTAAAGAACTGGAGAGGAAAATAAAGGAGAAACGTGCAGAAAAAGAAATGATTTGCGGAGGACTGAAGCTCGACATGCAGTGGAAGCTAGTACCACTTACCTTGAACATCAAACCAAGTGGAAGACAGGAATGGATGAGTAAGATTTACAAGGAACGAGCTGAAGTAAAGGACACTCTAAAGTGGCATCCATATGATCCACGCAAAGATACAAGATGCAGGAAGTGCAGACAGCGTTATCATACTGCCAAAGATTGCCCAAAGTAAGATCTTCAGTTATCTCGTTAAATCTCTTAGTTAAACCATCCAAGTTCTGGAGACACTGTATCTCAAGTGCCACAGAAATCATTATTAAGTTGAGATCAATCCATAATTCATTCCTGTTCTAAGTGTAATAAATTGTTCTGTGTTGTTGTGCTGTTGGCAAGAATGTGCTCGCCAACGCTTGATTTTGACAGTGTAGTCACTCGCCCTGGTTCGGATCGCCCTGCAGCTTGTTTGCGCGTTCCAGCAGCCGCTGGAACATTTCTAATCAGGCAGGTCAAAGGTTGGTCAGCGCGGCTGCTGCCACGCTGGTCCGCACTCTGACCTGCAGGGCCGCCAACGCGCCGGCCGGCCGTCGCGGGACTTTCCCCGGCGCCGGGCGGGGCACGGCGGGGACAGGGCGGTTCAGCAAGGGATGAGTGACTGGGGAAGGTTGGCACCCGTGGCGGAGCGGGTCAGCAGAGCGCTCCGGCCCGGGTCAAGTCGAGACAGACGTTGAAGAGACGGTAGAGAGAGAAGGTCAGGAGTGGAGGTCAGGACAGACGTTTTGAGTTGGAGAGTTGAGAGAGTCAGTTGGAGAGTTCATGGGTAGAGTTGAGTCTTGTGAGAGTTTTGTGAGAAGTATTCTTAGTGTCTTAAGGTAAAGTAAGCTGTCGTTATTTTCATCGTTACTAATCTTGTGTTCACACCCATGGCCACACATACTCACGCCCGCCGAGGGTGAACGTTAGCGAGCGCGGCCCACGAAGTGCGTCAACCGCACCGGTGAAGCCGCGCAGGCGCAGTGCCGGCTCCGGCGCAGGCGGGCCGGAGAGGAACCCGCGTTTCACCAAGGATATGTCCCGAGTCCACCAAGCACGTCACAGGCGTCCCGTTGACGAGGCACGAAATCTGGGGAGAACCTGGGGCGGCCACAAAAGAGTCCAGAGGGGGGGGGGGTGTCAGCTCATGTTAGGACCCCGTCGCGGCACCAGAGGCGGAGCTGGAACTGGCGCCGGCTTCCGCGCTGGTCATTTCCACCAGCCTGTTGACGGCTGCGACGATGCTGTCCAGGCCGGAGTCCAGCTGCGCATTGCTGCCCGTTTCCGCACCGCTCGCCGTCGCTGCCCGCGCCCGCTTGTGCTGGTCGTCGTCCTGCGGTCGTACAGGCCGGCCCACGCGATGGCGTCCGCCAGCGACGCGAAGGGAAGGCGCTGCGCGTCCCGTCGCAGCGTCTCATCACGCAGCCTATCTACAAAGTAGTGCACTACCTGTGCTTGGTCCCGTGCCATGTCCCCGGGCTGCATCCGGTACAGCGTCTGCAGGCGCATCCCAAACGCATGCGCCGACTCCTTGGCCTGCTGGCGGCAGGAGCGGAAGGCGACCGCGGCGTGGAAGGGGGTACGTCGCTTGGCGAAGGCCTCCATGAAGGCGGCCGACAGCCGCTGGAAGCTCGTTTTGTCCTCCCGGGGCAGCGTCGTGTAGTAGGAGCGAGCCGCTCCCGTGAGGCAGGCCACCAGCGCTGCAATTTGGGCCTGCTCGTCATGGCCCCACAAAATGGCGCTGCACTGCTCGGCGTGCTCCGCGTAGTCCCAAGACCCATCGTAAGGCGGTAGCTTGGGGGGCGGCGGCGGGCGTCCGAAGGGAACAGCGAGGGGAAGTGTGACGGCGGACGGCAGGGCGTGCGGGACGGTGAAGTGCTGCTGGGCCGCGAACTGTCCGGCCGAGGGTCCGGCAGGCAGCGACGAGGCGACGGCGGCAGCAGGCTGCCCGGACGGTGGCCGGGACGACTGCGCGGGAGCTGTCGGTCCGGAGACCAGCCCGCTCACAGAAGGCACAGATTGCACCTTGGTCGCCTCAAAGTA